TCAAAACTGCATAATCCTTTCTTGGTTTCTCCCTGGGGGTTCCTAAAGCCGACATCTATATACCATGACGTAGTGTTAGCAGGCCGGATTGGTGGCCCAGTCTGTCTGTATAAATGACTTCATTCTGCTCTCCGGGGTTGGGCCCCTGTTGATGGCAGTTGTTTTGATCATCCCTCCTACACAAGGGCATGGAATGTGAGTTGCTGAGAATTCCTGTCGACTTAGCTTAGTCTTAGCTCGTCGACTCTAACAATAGGATAGCGGCCTCTAGAATCGCCTCTAGGGATTAGGGCGTTTAACTACGTTAAGGCAGCCTCAAGGTTACCAGGTTTGAGTGTCCGTTCCTCTTAGCACACTCTGTTATTTGACCAAAAAGTTATAAGTAGGAGCCATTAAGTAGCGTCTAGCCTTAGCATGGTTTATGCTTGATGCTTGCGCAATGAGAAGCTTCGTAGGCATTATTGGCTGGCGTCCATTATACAGAATTGGCGATGTATCATAAGATTGGCAACTAACATGTTGTTATTCCACTAAATTTTGTCAAGTTGCAGAAGTTAAACCTGAACAAGAAGTTTGAAGAGTTGAAGAAGATAAGCTGTTACTGATTTCTTATATTTAGTGGGATTAGTATGAAAAGTAATTTTGTATGTTTAGAATGTTATAAGACCTACTTTTGATTATCTTTTGGATTACCACTAATGTAAGATAATGTAATCAAGAATATGAAAAGGAAAGACCAAAATAGTTATTCGATGATTTTTACCGAACCAACATCTTCAGCTGCAAAAACCGCAAATGAACCAGATAGGAAAAATGATTAGATAAGAAAGAAAGCCTGGACAAGAATAGCAATGGCCCATCGGTTGGTGAAACCAGAACTAAAACATAATTTCTTAAAGGCGAAGGCAAATTGGTTGGAATTAGGATCGTAACTAGAACAGAAAGATTTTTATGAATGTGAAATGCCTCTAAAGTTCATCAAGGAAGATGTTTTTGAATAATTTTGGCAGCAGAAAAATTGAAAGTGTGATTTTCGGAACCAACAATGTTGAGCAACAGAAGACTTCAGTGTTTCCTTTTTCTAACATATGCCTCATGTTCTTGACGTCGAAACTTTAAGGCTCTCTTAGTTTGGCCAATGTAAATTAAAACCACACTGGCAATCCTGAAAATACCCAGGAATTCATTCCGGAATGGGGTCCTGAGTATAGAACTTGGAATTTTATTGATGGAAGAATAAACGACCCTAAAGTTAAATTTCTGCAAAATACGTGCAACTTTATAGCTAATTGATGGAAAGAAGGGAATGACAACAGAATTTTTATAATCTCCTAAAATAAGAGTGTGGCTTTTAGTGTGTTGAGATGAGAATTTTTTAACTGCTTCATTAATAATGTTGGGTGAAAAGCCCCTGTCAATAGCTATTGCTTTTAAATAATTTAGTTCTTTATGAAGGGATAGTTTAGAGGAGCAGACTTGAAGAGCATGGAAAACATAGGAATAAAATGAAGCTAACTTTTGTTTAGTCAGATGACAAGTGTGGTGGAAGGCAAACCGATGAAGGTTTACGGTAAACCGTAGTACTGAAGTTGGATGTGTTACATGTGGCCAGAATGTCAAGAAACAGAAGAGAATTGCAAGTCTCAAGTTCAAAAGTAAACTGAATAGCAGGATCAGTGGAATTCATTGTTGAAAGAACTTTACTTAAATCATTTTTATTATCTTCAAACAGGGTAAAAGTATCATTTACATAGCGGAACGAACCATACCGGGAAGTTTAAAGTATCAAGCAATTTTGATTCATAATAATGCATGTAGATATCAGCCAGGATGGGACTGAGGGGGCTTCCCATGGCTAAATGTTTATTTTGCAAAATTTGGCTTGTAATATTTATTTTGCAAAACAAAATGCATTTGCTTCAAACAGAGTTGAGTGAGAGAAATTAACTCATCAATTTCAATGCAAGAGAAATTAAATTCGTGAAATCTGGTTTCTAGACATCTTAATGCACCCTCCACTGGAACATTGTTTAATAATGATTTTACATCAAAAGAAACATGAGTAAATTTCTAGGAGAAATGTTTTTAACTTTTTTTACAAACTCTGTTGAATTTTTTATGGTGTAAAAGTTATTGTCTAATAGAGTTGAAAATCTAGAAACTAAATATTTAGCTAGCGGATACGAGGCAGTATCTAAATTTGATTTTATCAAATTTAGGTACTGCCTCATATTAGAGATACTATTACCTTTTTTATAGGACCTTATTTTTATTTCCTATTAAATACAGCATCCATTTCTATCTCTCCTTTTAAAAACATCATTTATCACAAATTTTGTTATGTCTATAGCTAAGGGAATATTTACGAAATGTTCAACATGGAAGAATCATGAAAACTGCCATACGTTCGCCTCTTGCTAAAGTCTATAAGCGGCTATTGACCTTGAACAAAGCTCAAATCGGAAAAATTTACAAATGTTAGAGAAAAAACTAAATCAGGATGTTGAGTTTTTAATTTTTTAATTTAACAGTTAAAAATACTGTGCTTCTTTGTGTACCACCTATTTTTCTCTTCCATACCACCAGTTGAGAACCCCTACCATAGATAATACTTTCAATAACATTGCGCCAATGCTTAGTCTCTTCTTTTAATAAATTTTGAAATTTCGAATCAACGTTCAAAATTGTTCTAAAAAATCGCACCAAAGATGTAGATTCCAGAAGTGCATTTTATATTTTTCATGAACTTTTAAGTGTTTATTTAAGTGGTTCCAGTCATTAAATTCAGAATTACTCAATTTTATGCTGCTGAAATTGTTAAAAATTTTGCAACAGAAACAGTAAACTGAATTTGTTTCCGAAGAATTTAGCAGCCAATACCTTTTAACACTTTCGTTGTTTGGCAAGATTCCACATAACTACTTTTGTTTGGTTTCTCATAATATTATGTTAATAATACTTCATTTTAAGTGTTAATTATAAGCAGTTTCTCTTTAATATCGTCACTGCAAAAGGCGCTTGCTGGACATTTGCACGACTTCGCCGATCAGGCTTGTCGTGAGCCTGCCAGCCATCATATCCAGCAGAGTAGGCTGTAATTTTTAACAGCCTTTGGCAAATTGTTATTTAACGATATATTCTCCATCAATTAATAACTGTCTTATTGATGTCTGGATGCACTGCTTCTATAATTTTAATATTTGTGACAATATTATGTTGTATTCCATAAGACAACTTTTGATGATCTTCCAGATCTTCTTTTGTTTTGAATTAACATTTCAAATAATGCTTTCTTATATCAAAAACTGGTAATTTCTTTAAATTAATCATTCTTAATGTGCAAGTAGAAAACAGTAATTAATTCCTGTTTTCCTCTTGCAGATTAAGAATTAGTTTATGAATTTTCATTTACATATAATTTCTTGTGGCGGCTGTGATGAAAAAAAAAATTTCAGATATGATATAACTTGCAAACATTTTTGAAGAATTATAGGGAATTATTTTTCATACACTGGCAATTACTTGGAGGAAAGTAATATTATAAATAATATCTATTGTAGTTGATTTTGCAATGTTATCAAAGTCCCGATACCTTTGTGTGATATGATTTTCTTAGAAAAAAGAAAATTGTTAATATTTGAAACTTAGTATTTTCTATTATAAAAAACATTCTTAACATAAAAAGAAGACTAGACAAAGGTATACTTTAAAAAAATGTTTTAGTTTTAGTGCAATGTATATAAAATTTTTGACATTATTTTTAAGAATTAAAAGTTCTATTTTGTTAAACAGTGTAAATGTGGGGTATTGAATAATTACCCCAACAATAAGATAGCTAACTGTGGTGTGAAAGTTTTAATGCAGAAGCAATGATCAAAGGCAAATCTACCATATATGAAAAACAATGAACTCCTGATTAACCAAAATAATGCCAGGCACAGTGTGCTCAATTAATCCAAGAAGAGTTCTTAAAAATGCAAAAAGATGAATAACTCATATATTAACAGAAAAATAATGTTAGCAATTTGCCTGTATTTTCAAATGGTTTATTCTGCAAAATAAGTTCATTTAGTTATGTAAATTAAAATACAAGTAGTATCTAAAACAAAAAGAAAATGCTGTAAATAATGGAAGAATAAACATCATTAGAAGTGAAAAAACTAAGTTATAAATTTCATTAAAGAACAAAACTTGTAAGTGAATTTGAAGGTTCCTTAAAAAAAAAAAAAAAAAAAAAAAAAAAAAAAAAAAAAAAACCCTTTTTTTTTTTTTTTTTTTTTTTTTTGTAGATTTCATTTAGCAGATATCCCTTAGAAAATTTTGTTTTATGCTGATGATTTATGACAGTAATTCTTCTGTTTTTCATCAGTAAGCAAATGTAATATTTTTAGAGAGAAATAATCTGCAAATCAATTAATTGAGTTGGCTATATAATAATTACATATAAATGTATTGAGATGCTGTATCTGTTTAGGGAGAAAGCAGAGTTAAGTATAAAAATTTGACAAAGTATATACGAAATGTTTATTTGAATTTAACACATACAATATTATCTCATTCATGTAAAGCTAATTTAAATTTTGCAAAATTAGTTCGCAGCAGTAATTAATCTTTTACTTGTTTACAATTGAATTTTCATAATTTAAAATTTAAATTACCTTTATATGAGTGAAATAATGTTGCATGTGTTAAATTCAAATTTCATTCCTTGCAGAAATGGCGCAAGAGAATTTTTAAAATTTTATTTAACTTTACATAGGTTTCTTATAAAACAAAATATTTATGATGTTCTTACTATAAGTATGCACATAAATGTTGCTTTATAATTAATTCATATTCTGTATATAAAAAAATTCATACTACTTTATATTCTTACATTTTAACTACTTTACATTCATACTATTATACTACTTGTATATACTACCTGCTGTATATTCATACTAGTAAAATTTAAAACTGTGTATTAATTTTGAAAAAATTGTATTATTTAATTCTTACAGGGTTGGTCAAACATTAGTTCCTTAAATAATCTATCTGATGTATATAAATTATATTGTGAAGGAGTTCTAGAAAAATCTGCAAGAGAAATTTTTATCACAGGATCACTTAGTGATGTAAAAGATAAATTTCAGGTTTGTTTTGAAATTTTGCCATTATTTTTTTATGTGTGATGAATGTTATTTAACCCAATTACAGATCATAACTCTAGTTTTGTACTTACTTCATTTCAGTCATGCACCACGCAAAATAAAAAAGACATTTTTAGTTTGCTTTTTTTGGGAAATTTGTGCTGAAGAGGAAGAGAAGTATAACTATATAATTTATTTGTAGAAACCACAGCTACATATCGTACTGATATGGCTATCATGCTAGTTGTAACTGTGATACTAACCATCGTGCGGAGGTGTTTTGAGTCATGGTAATAAACTAATTCTTAAATTGCACACTTATTAAAATAGCCTAAACCTGCTTTGCTTAGTCAGAAATTGCTCAAGTAAAAGTTGGATGGGGATTTCATTAAAAAAAAAATTATGATTATGAATAAGCTTAATTAAAAAAATCTTAAAGGAAAATAGCTACTAAAAGTACAGCATTAGCAAATGTTCAAAATTTGACACAGTTTCGGCAATACGGAAGGTAAGAACTCTATTGCAATTGTGGCAGAGTAAATCAGGATAATATGCACTCATGATATGTGAAAATGGAAAACTCATATTGGAATTATAGTTAATGTAGCCAAGTACTGAAAATTTCAGTGCAAATATCAGAGTCTCATGATTGCATGATATTCTAAATAACGGACTGTAGCATAAAACATCAGAATTGTGTATATTGAAAAAAAAAAAATAATAATAATAATAATATTTTAACAGCACTCTCCCCCCCCCCAAAAAAAAAAAAAAAAAATAAAGAAGAGGAAAATGACTTAAAAAAACATAAAAGTGGAGAAACAATTGTTAATTACAGACAGACATTACAAATATTGTATCTTTTGCAATTGTCAAGTGTACATTGCATATGTCTAATAATGCAAACTACAATAGCATGATACATTCAGTTGGTATGCTTTGTAATTTCCTTTTTATCCATTGTACCAATTTTACCATTGTAATTTCCTTTTTACCATTACATGGTTTTTGAATCTGCTCATGAAAAATTGTGTTTAAGTAGAACTAATTAGGTATATTTTTATAAATACTTATTTTAATCTTTCTTTTCATAACCTTCCATTCATTAGAACAGTATTTATACTATCGAGACAAATATAAAAATAAGCTGTTTTTAGTAGTAGTATAATATATCAAGTAGTAATAAGTCTTATGATTACATAAAACTAGCAGCTCTAATTTTTATCCATTATGTATGTCATCTTTTAGTTCTTGAATATTGATTGTCTATTTATGCACTGCAATAAGCAGAATGTTATGTTTTACAGGAACTAGCAACTTACTGTGCCCTTGACACCATGGCTACGTATGAAATACTCAGAAAAATAATGCCCATGTTTTTTCAGAGGTAATTATGAAATTTATTATGGACCTGTGGTTCTTGGTACAATAATAATGAGTAGCAGTTTAACTTCTGTACTGGTAATTTACACTAGTCTACAAAGAAAGCTTTTTTTAGTCAGCATAAGTAAAACTTAATTTTCTGAAACTAAGAACTTTTACCTACCTCTTATATTAAAAATGCTATCAGTCTTTTTATACCATATAGTTTTCTTTCTTTCTTTCTTTCTTTTTATTATTTTTTTATGGATGTTATGAAGATACTGAGTGCCTAGTACATATTGTATTTGCAATGTCAGGAAAAATTTATTGCATTTTATCTTATTCATATATGTTCTTATATGTATATCATTTTCATATTGCACAATGCTATGGAACATTATTTTGGAGATTAATAAAACAAAGATTTTTAAATGTTTTCTGTTATATAATTATTTTAGGTGCCTCAGCATCATTACAGTGCAGCCTCAGCATCAGGACTGGATGCTGACGCTGCACTGTAATGATCCATTAAGAAATATAAGCACATGCTTAGGGTATCAAGGAAAGGGGGCTCCAAAAAATTTTCCATTGCCTGTTTTACTATGGAATGCATGATGTAGCTAAACCAACACCATGAAAAGGGTTGAACAATTGAGGGTTGAGAAAAGGAATGAAGAAAAACTGGCATAAGTATATGTGGGAGCACCAAAATCTTTTCTATATAGGAATACTGAGATGTAGAAACTCAGAAAATACTAATGGCAAAGCATGTGGATGGCATATTGAACAGAAAGAATTCTCATTGCATAGAATGTTAAATCCTTAATGAATATTAAACTTGACACTCGAGATGGATTAAGTTACATTTTTATTTAAATTGACATTTGTGGCCACAATTTACTTGGCACTCTAATCCTATTTCCAGAACATTTACATTTTTGATACTGTTGCTGTAGGAAGAGAGCACTGTGAAATTGCGTTTAAGTAGCACAGAAGTTGAAATGAGGTGTGTTTTTATCCAATTTGGCAGTCTGTTAAGAGAAAAGTTTTGGTTTAGATTAGAAAGGTTACAGTTCTCAAGCGTTTAGGTTCCAAACTAAGAACTAATTTATTTTGTAAGAGTTCAAGCTACAAAGCAGACAATAATTGAAACTACTCGAATAATAATAAAACACAGGTGACCATTTCATCTTTAGAATTTATATCATCATTGCAAATTTTGAAAAGACAAGCATTTACTTTTTATGTTAAAAATAAACAGTATAGTTATTTCCAACATACATCATTGAGTTTATATACTTTCTTTCTTATGATGGGCTAAGTGTATGGTGAAAAAAATTCATTTCAGTGCTGTGTTTTTTCTGAATAGAATAGCCATGCATTTGCATTTATGCAATCAACTCTGAAATTTATGGTTAATGTTATTCATTGAAGTAACATATCATAAATACTTTCCTTTTAACAGCAAAAAACTGGTTAAATTTGAAGTAGTTCTGCTGTTTTGTGATTTCTCCCCCCCCCCCAAGTTTATTCATAAGATTTATTGAGTTGAAGTCATCATTTCTAGATGAGGCACCTGCAGCATTTGTTTCAAAATAACACTGTTCCAGTTTCTGAAAATGCTTCTGTTTTAACTAGTACCAAATAATGATGTTTCTTTTAAACCAAAAAGTGTGTAAATTTGAAATGGAAAAGGTGTATTCACGAAGCGCAGTCAACTGATGAAGTTCTGCAGAGAGTCTAAAATATTTTTAAATATTCGCCCACCTCTCAATTCTAATATTATATGCTTAATCTTTGAAGAAAATAATCCAGTGATAATGAAAACTTGACCTCTTTAAAGCTGTAAAACAGGTTTGAAGTTTAAGCCAGTTAGAAATTTTCTTCTTCTTCTTCTCTCTCTTCTTTTTTTAGCCCAGAAGGGCTATTAATTTCATTTTGGCATTTGTATTGGTTCACTATAAACACCGTTTTACTTTAAAGAAATCAAATAATGAAGAATCTGCATGAATGTAGGTATGTTTCTCACACTATTAGAAAACAATGTTATATAGAGACATCAAATTTTGAAGCCCGAATTTGGAATTTGTTTTAGTATCTGATTTATATTTTGTAAAACTATAATGAATTTTTAATTAACAAACTCAACGATTTCAATGCGAACAATGGCAACACTGTATGGGGGGAAAAGAAAACATTTTTATCTCCAATGCATGAGACTGTATGTCAGAAATTCTAAAGATATGCTCTTTTTAAATTCCCCCCACCCTATATAGCTGTTGAATTGAATTTTATGCTTTAAGTGCGAAGAACATGATAAATAAAGGTAATGCACGAGACGTTTAAAAAACACCCTTTTGGGCATAATGTAAAATCTGAAAGCTTTCAGTTTTTATTCAGTTTTTCAGTTTTTTATTTTTATTTATTTATTTAACTATTCAAATTTTTAAGTTGCCCAAATAAATGAAATAGCATGGAAACCAATTATAATTGGTTTTAGTAGCACTTACACACTAATATGTTTATTAAATTGTAGATTGTCTTTATATAAACTGATAGCATCACATACCAGAAAACACACTAAATTGCAACCTATTTTATTGAACTAAAAAAAAAATTCCTGCCAACTTTTCCATTTTCATTGAAATTAATGGTATTCAGTGTTAAAAATTGCATGAAATGGCCAGTTACTTTAGTGAACCAAAAGTCCTCACAATCTCTACTGGCACATTTTTTATCACACTGACACATACATATTATTCATCACTTTCATAGGTTCTTTGTGTAAGGGAGTTATTGCTCATATCTGTACTGCTTTTTCCATAGATCTCCATATATCCCTCATAGATGCCAAAGTTGAAAATATTTCACCATATTTGGTGCACCTTCAACCACAGCTATTTGTAATTGCCTTAGATTTCAAATTATATGCACTAAATTTTTAATTAAAACTTAAAAAAAGGTTACAGATATGAATGAATATTAAATATGCACAAATTTTCAACATCAAATGTATAAAACAAATGGAGACTAATCAGGAAAATTTATAGGATTTTGTTTTTGGATGAGAGGGGAAATACAACTAAAAACACAGTTACAAATAAAGTTGTGCAAATATGTGTTTAATATTAAATATGAAGCAAAAAATAATGTATGCATACAAGAGATTTATGTAATTAATATATAATTGGAACTGAAGTAGAATATTTTTGTATGAAATAAAGTTAATTACTCCTGTATGAAGTAATTTCGTTTATTAGCTTGCTTGTGCAGATAAGCAAGCTAATAAATGCTAATGTTTTTTCAAGTGGAAAAAACTTGAAATTATTGTACACTTTTATGAATCAAGGTTTTAATTTCATTACAAAGGGTAGTGTATTTTTTTGCTAATGAATTACTAAGTTATTGACATTCATTTAAGTGAAATTTTTTTCCTGTGAAGTAAAATAGAGTTTCCTTAGTATACTAGCTAACATATTGACAGTTTTTCTACCAGTGAATGCATAATTTAATTGTGATTTATATATCTTTCCTGTAAAATCAAAATTCTTGTTATTTTAGCTTACTTTTGACTTCATTAAAACAAATTGCAATTTTGTGTTACATTATGAGATTGTGTTGAATCTAAATATTCATTTCCAAAATGTAATATAGTAACAATATGTCTTTAGTTAAAATACCCTTTGCTAAAAATGCTTTTGTTAAAATGTCACATTCAAATTTTTTCTGTTGTTTTAATAAAACTTTTTTTCTCTCTTTATTTTGAGAAGGGTCACTGACCTTCCCTCTTAATACGTGTTTGACACAAGTTTACTATGATATAAAGCAAATACTTTTAGTGATTTACAATATAAACATGCACACATATTTCAAGTAACTAAAATTTAAACTGTAATTTTTGTCACTAATTAAATTAATTTTTTTTAGTATAAATGAAAGCACTTATTTTGAACTAGTTGCAGAAAATATATTAAATGCTTCTGTAAGTTGAATTCCAAATTAATAGTTATTAAAAAAATTACTTATTATAATCTACAAATTAAGATTTATATTCCAGATTTCCTCATCCAGTAACATTGTGTGGATTATTAGAAATGTCGTCTGCATATTTACCTGTAAATCAAAACTGGGAAAGATATCTTCATGAAGCACAGTCTACATATGATGATCTACAGCAGGAGTTGAAACATTCTCTCATACATTTAGCTAATGATGCTTGCTCCTTGCTTCATAATGATTTGTAAGTAATCTGTGATATCTTTTTTTTTTTTTTTTAAACCCAGGAGCACACATGCTAGGTCCAAAAGACCCGATTCGTGTTCTTTGAAGAAAATATTGTAATTCTTCAGAAAACATGTTGCATCTATGCTAATAATAAATTGTATAATAAAATTTAAAAACTATGCACATTAAACTTTTTAATTTCTCCAAATGCTTTTATGAAATAAAATTTCTTAAAGGAGTAGAAAATCGTATTATATATTAGCATAGGAAAAAAAATAGTATACCATTACTCTATATCCTTATTTTCTTTATTAGCACTATAGACGCAGAGAACAAATGTTAGCAGAGAATTGAAAAAAGCGTTTTTGTGTGTTCCAAATGCAAATTTTTCACATTCGGCGAAGCACATTTTCATTTGTCTGTGCTTTTTCGTTGGGCAAATGATACATCTTTTTTCTTCTTTTTTTTTTTTTTTTTTCCCCTTTTTTCTTTTCTTTTTTTTTTTTATTTCATTTATGTTTTCCCGTTTCTGATAATTTTTTTTCAATAAAAGAATTTATGTCATTCTCACTCTCGCTTTCAAAATCTATATCACTGTCTGAATCAATATCACGTGAACAAAAAACTCATGATCACTTCCATCATCATTTTCTTCAATATATCCTTCGCCTTTGCCAGTTGTTACATCTAATAACTTTTGAAAAATTTCTTCATTGTAAGATAAATTGCACGACATGCTCCAGGTACTGCAAAGTGCTATTCGTCATGAATTAATTTTGTTAGAGAATTTCCTGAGCAATCTGATACGTAGCATAGAAAATCACTGCAAAGCTTGCATCTTGGTCGCAGATGACAACACAGCTTATTAATTTTTTCTATGTATCTCTAGAATCTTGAAATACTGCTCTTCCACACACACCGCCTTATAATTTTTTTTTTTTTTTTTTTTAAATAGGCAGTTTTTCAGATTAAAGATGTGCCAGGTATGGCAAAATAAAAGTCTTGTGCAAGCTTTTTTTTTTTTTTTTTATATGAGTTTGTATAGTTGTCACATTATTCTTTCTCCCTGTTCTGTATTATCCTGTTGTGAATCCATCATCATGTGTAGTTTAGGGGGTGTGAAGACAAAATCATGAATCATCTACTATGAGTCATCTACTATCAGTTGTCACGCAAATGAATAAACTAGAAATTTCCATGAATACCATTATCCCATTCATCTATTCCTTATTTAAAATATGATTTCTTTTGCATACTATAGTTATGAATCTATTAAAAATGAGTTGTTTGAAATAATATATCTTTTTCTTATTAAACGTTTTGGCTGTGCTGTTTTTCTGTTACTTTGTCTGCATTTTTATGATTACTTTAACAACAAACAAGGGTAGCTTAATGTCTTCATTTGTAGCTAGATTGTATTTGTTTCTAGGTGCAATAAAATGTTCTAGTTTCTAGGTGCAATAAACATTCTGTTCTAGCAATGAAACATTCTAGTTGCAATAAAACATATTTCATCCTAAATGAAAAATTTATTACATTTTTGGTGGTTTTTCTGCATAAATTTGAATAGCAGATAACTCTCTTAGCATACATTGTTTATTTTGGTATGACTTATACTATTGCACATTCAAATATTTATTAAAATATTTCTTTTTAAATGCATTAGATATAAAGATGATCCTTGGCTGTGGGATTTAGACTGGTCTGTTCAAAGTATCAAATTTAGAAAAGCAGCTCCTGAAACAACAAAGAAGAGAAAGAGCAAAAGCAAAAAAGAAATTGGTACTGAAAGTAAAGAAAAAATATCTGATGGCGAATCTAAGCATCCTGTTGCTGAAGTATATATTTTCTTAATCTATATTAGTAATTTTTTAAATGAAAGTTATATGTCTAATTTCTGTATATATTAAAAGTGGATTAATCTTGACTGCAGAAATGTCTGCTATCCAGTTTTGGGGCCACTATGTTCCAGGGTGTTTAAGATCCATGCAACTGGCAGCATTGCCGTTCTTTAATTTTCAATGCACTTGGTCTGGCAAATAGCCAAGTTCCTAGAATACTGCTTTTCAACAAGTTGTAACCTTTATAAAATATCATCTTTCAGTGTATAACTGTATTTGCAATTTAATATCAAGAAATTTATATCTAAGTAATATACAGTACGAAGTTCGAAATCCGGACTGGTCGGGGCTTCGGCGATTCCGGATTTGGGATTTTTCCAAATAATAGATCATCAATTTAAATTTGGTAAGATGGCATGCAGAAATTATACAATTAAAAATATGAAATCGTAATTTATGAAATAAACACAATTATGATCTAAAGGGTATCAAAATTTACAAAAAAAGCTTAATATTTATTTGTTTACTTTATTAAGCATTTCTTTCAATGTAAGTTGTTTAAGATGCTTCCACTAAAAATTCAAAAAGTTCTTTTTTTCTTGTGTCATATACAGTGGACTTTCCAATGCCATACTCCTCGCATAATTTTAAGGCGGATATGCCTTTATGCATTTTTTGCAGCAATTCCACTTTTTGTTTAATGGATATCGAAATATGGTTTTGCTTTGTAGATTCTTTGGCAACTCCAGAATTAGAAAGTCTTTTCAGCATAATCGAAAGTTCAAGCTTAGTTTTTATAAAATTGCCGTAATAATGACAGTCTGCAAAAAATAATAAGCTGGATCAAATTCAGTTGGATCAGGGGGCACTGCTACATTAATTGAAATGCCTTAGAATCAGTAAAGATAATTTTAGCCTAGCTTAATAGCATCTGTTATACGAGGGTTGAAAAATAGTGGCAACTTTACCTTGAAACTTACACAAGGATTGGCATACACAAATAGGATATGGGAGCGGTGAGGTGGCACTGTTGTTGATGTGTAAAGTGCAAAAAACAGTCAATCTGCTTAGAAGGGTAGTTGTTGTGTGGCATTAAAGTGAGGAGTTTCGTTTTCCTTGCTCTAAAGTATGTTTTCAAAAGTTGATCCGCAGTTGTGGCTTAAAATCCAGGTTGCCCATAGCAAAAATGCAACAGAATGCCATCGAGGATTAGTGGAAGCCTGCGGCACGCGGATTTGCAACACACAGGTCGGCCCTCCATTCCTCAAGAGCAGATTCACATCCTGAGCGGTATCCTATCCCATAGACCTGCCGATGGACTGTTCGAGAATTATCCTTAGAGATTGGTCTAAGTCATCAAACGGTGTGGCGCATAATGAAGAAATCTCTCAACATGAGGAAAATTGCTTCCCACTGGGTTCCACATTGACTAACCGAAGTATAAAAATGGCACCAGTTTGCTCTGGCTGGCACCCACTTGGAAAGATACTACAATGAAGGAGGCTCATTTCTGCAGCGTATTGTCACCATTGATGAGACATGGGCATGAGCCTATGAGCCTGAATTAAAGCATCAATCAAATGAATGGCATCACCAAGGTTCGCAACCTCCACAGAAATGTCGACAGGAACTCAGTTGGGTGAAGGTTATGTGGATTATGGCATACGACTGGGACGGGTGATTTTTACACATGCTGTACCTGAAGGACAAACTGTCAATGCAGACTACTATTGCCAATTTCTACAGCACCATCTGCATCCAACTATGCTGTGCAAATGTCCACGTTTATTGCACAACAATCTCCCTATCATATCGCATAACAATGCTCGTTTCCATGTCGCAAAAAAATGTCACTCTCCTTTTGCGATGATGGCAGTGGGAAATCCTGGAACATCCTCCCTACTCACCCGATATGAGTCCTTGTGACTTCGATCTGTTTTCGAAGTTGAAGGAACCCCTCCGAGGTCACCGATTTTATGACGTTTCATCTGTACTCCACACAGTAGGGCGCTCGGTCGCCCAGATCAACAATCAACACCTTGCCACTGGTCTACAACGGCTTCCCGACACTAAGCGAAAGGTGAACCAACCAACCTTTGTTGGTGATTATATAGAAGGAATTGCACTTGTAAGTTCATTAAAAATTTATTTATACCTATGTTGCCATTACTTATTTACAGCCTTGTACATTATTCCGTGTATCACAAGATTGGCAAAAGCCAAGTTAAGACACAATAACACGCCGAATAATACTAATTCAGAAGTCAAAACAACAAAATCAGCGTTATATTTACAAAATTTTCACAAGGACTAGTTTTGAGTTTTACCGAAACCACCTTCAGCTGCAAAACCGCAAATGAACCGATAGAAATAATGATTAGATAAGATAAGAAAGCCTGGACAAGAATAAGCAGTGGTGCCATCTGTTGGTGAAACCAGAACAAAACATAATTTCTTTAAAGGCCGAAGGCAAATTGGATTGAATTAGGATCGTTAACTAGAACAGAAAGATTTTTATGAATGTGAAATGCCTCTAGAAAGTTCATCATGGAAGATGTTTTTGAATAATTTTGGCAGCAGAAAAACTGAAAGTGTGGTTTTCGGACCAGCAATGTGAGCAAACGAAGACTCTGTTTTCCTTTTTCTAACATATGCCTCAGTTTCTGACGCGAAATTTTTAAGGCTCTCTTAGTTTGGCCAATGTAAATTAATCACAATGGCAGGAATCTTATAAATACCCCAGGAATTCATATCCGGAATGGGTCCTTGAGTAGGGAACCGGAATTTTATTGATGGGAGAATAAACAACCCTAAAGTTAAATTTCTGCAAAATATGCAACTTTATAGTAATTGATGGAAGAAGGGAATGACAACAGAATTTTTATAATCTCCTAAAACAAGAGTGTGCCTTTTAGTGTGTTGAGATGAGAATTTTTTAACTGCTTGATTAATAATGTTGGGTGGAAGATGCTGAAGATGGTGGTTCGTTAAAACCATCGAAACTAGTCCTGTGAAAATTTTGTAAATATAACGCTGATTTTTGTTGTTTGACTTCTGAATTAGAAAACCAAGTTGTTTTACTAAATTTGCCTTGCTCCTATTGCGTACTGAATTAAATCTGAATTATATTAGTTTAGTTATTTACTATACCTACATTTATTTCTTGCACATGCTTCAAACTAATCTGAATCCTGAATAAATAAACTCCCACATATACTTAAGGCTTTATCTAATGCCGGCGCTCTGTACCGCCTGGTGCAGTCTCTACGGGTCCTAAATTCTGCTACAAAGTGCTTTCCTAAGTTCTAAATTTTCACTGTGCCTAAACTTTGGATCCCAGTGCTTTCCCTAAATCATAAAAACTTCTCATCCCTTAATTAATTTTACCACTCGGTGCTTTTCCAAATTTCAAAAATGTTGTCTTCCCTAAATTCTGCCGTCCAGTGCTGACATATTCTGCCGCCACTTCTGGGTTTATAGTGAATAACATATCAGTTATTCTTAATTAAAATAGCACTAAATGTAATCTTTTGGCCTATTAGTTTCATTAACAAAATTTATTTTTAGCATATGAAAAGAAATTTTTGTTGAATTTTTCCTCGTCAACATTTCTTAGAGCATTTAAAAATCTATAATCATCGCCAAGCATATTGTTAGCATAAAACGTTGCCATACTCTTGTTATTCAATTACTAATGTAAAAAAAGTTTAGACATCACAGCATGAGCTATTACTGAAGCTTTCATGTATTGATAAACATGCGGTGATGAAAGCAAAATATAATAAATAATGACTCACCAGGTTGGCGTCAGTGATATAAAACAGGTGAATTTTTCAGTTTGAGATGTATGCCAAGTAGATATTCAGCTATGGAGCCAAATTATTAATCTCACAACTTTATGCTTACATGATTGTTCTTCCATAACGAGGTATTTTATTTAGTACCTAAGTGAAATTAAGAATCAAAATTTTTAAGTGAAAATCTCTACATGTTTTATTATGGAAGGAAAAATCAAATGCGCTTGCATAAAGCATTAATAAAAAAAAAAGTTTGTGGCTTTGATGTCCGGATTTTAGATCATTTCGGATTGTGCTGTATATCTTTATTTAATTTTTAACTAGTCGCCATGCAGCCAGCCTTTGTCTGGCTTTTAAATGTACTGCAAAACAAACATCATATCCAAGTACGTCTTGACAAACATCCAGTATCCAAGAGAAACATTAAATTTAAAAACTGCACAGAAATATCCTCATTTTTCTGAGTGGCAACAGAGCTGATATCAGCAACAATGGCAACAGTGATATATCAGCAACAATGACTGCGTGCCATTGTTGCTTCCTGCCATCAATTTGATGCAATTTCATCAAAAAACATAAAATTAAAAAAACTTATTTGAATTTTGAAAAAACGCTTCCAAGTGCATTGGCTCTTTTCTAGATGCACCTATGTACCAAATTTCGTAGCCCTGCATCTGTTAACTTACGCACAGCATAAAGGAAAGATACACACACATGCAGACAGGCAGACTCTTCCTTTTATTTTATATAGATATAATAGCTAATTAACATAATTCAAAATGTATTTTAATTGTATTTTTGTGGATATTTGCACCATTACTGTAATTTATAAGAAGACAATGTTTCTTATGCTATGTATTATCTGCAGAATAATTGATTTATTTAAACAAAAAGATGACCTAGAAAAAAATGTGTGAATTAAGTTTTGCCTCATACTTCCATTCTGTCTTTTTTTTTTATCATATAGTTATTTCTTTTGAAGAGATTAACATCACTTATATGGAGTGAAGTAATGTAAAAGAAAAGTTTTTTAAATAATAAAATTTTATACTAATGCAATTCTTTTAACATTGATTTCTCTCTAATTGTATTAGAAGTCAATATCTAGTCTTCAAAAAATAGTTTTGTTTTGTGTATAAAATACATTTCTTTTCAATTAATATACATGATTTTATAAATCTACATTTAAATAAGAGCACTAGTAGTGTTTTATTTATTATTATCTGATCTTCCATGTGTGTGAATGTATATATATATATAATTGCTTTTTGTGTATAGCTTGTATATTTTGTCTCTGAATATTTTAGGAGCATGCTATTCCTGAAATTGAGAAAGAAAATTGTGATAAGTCTTTAGATTCATCTGTCCAAAAGGTTTATAAATCTGCTGCAACTTTAAGAAAAGTTCGTCCATTTTTACCAGGTTATCCAGCGTGAGTCATACTTACCTACAATATTCTGTTCTCAAAAGACAAAATTTTTCTTTAAATTAACTGACTTGATTCTATGACTATACTCAAAGCAAATAAAGAATTTTCCATGCAGTTAATTTTGAAAAAGTATTAAATACATGTATTCTTGAATGCAAATTTAAAAAGAGAAATCAAAATTTTGTGGACACTTTAAGATTTTCCCTTATTTTATTTACATAATCAAATATGTCACAGTTATTTAAGAACATTTAACTTTTTTTATATGTAGTCTTTATGGTCTGTCTTATCGGTTTTTTATAATAATGTTAAATATTAACTGAAATAGGTTTATTTAAATCAGAAGTTAATGGAAGATATCAAATTGCAGTTCATGAAAATTTTGAGAAAAATTGTCTTAAAGATTTGTAAATTAAGTGTTAACATATATAAAGCATAGAAAGATGAGAAATTTGTGATATATTATGCATCATCAAGTCATTATGTAATATTTTAGTGATCTTTAAAATTGCTGTCAAAGCACATAATAAAAATACTACTAAAAAAGTAAAAATTTTAAAAAAAAAAAAATTGTTGTTAGTAAAAATCCTTTCCTCATTTCAATATAATGATATGAACCTGAGGAAGAACAAAGCTAAATTTTCAGAATGAACAGATACTTTATTTGAATTTTAAAACAGAACCAAAAAAAAGCTGCACTCTTAACTATCAAAATTTTAAACTCTTAACTACTACAGTTAAACTCTTACAACTATTAAAATACTAAAATATTAAACTCTCTAACCAAAATATATAAAATCTTCCGAATTCTTTTTTTGTTGCCACACCGTAAAATGCAAGTTCTTGTCCTATTATTTATATTTCACGTTCTCTTTAAGTCACGATCTTTACAAGTCCCCCCACAAGAAGCACATTCGTCACCGTAGAGACAATGCTGCTCAGAGTTCATTGAGAGAGAGTTAACTGCTAACCTTGATAAAGCATCAGCATTCCCATGTGAACTTCCTTTGTGGTATGTCACAGTCATGTTATACCAGATTTTGTACAGATGCATTCACTAATGTCTTGGTTTACTACCACTTTTTTAACAGTTTCATCTAAACATGGCTCTTTCAATGCTGGCATATCAGTCATCCCAGATATTTTTGCATCAGCAATTGACACAACTAAATTTTTAAAACTCTTTTCTAAATCATTACTATAGTTTTGTTCAGAATTTGAATTTGGCAGTGATTTATTGCAGTTGGAATTTTTTTCCAGGTTTTGGTCAGAAGCTGTTTTTTTTTTTTTTTTTTTTTGGATTTGCTTTTAGCACTTTTCTTGTTACTTTTCCCAGAAACGTTTTTGCTAACTTTATTATTTATTTTAACTCAGTGGTAAAAGAAGTTTCATCTTCTTTTATCACTGAGGTTTCTTCAGTATCAGGAAGTTTTTCTTTACAAGCAGAAGTATATAAACATCTTACACCTGACTCTGGAGAATCATTTTCCTCTCCATTCATTTTATTATCAGCTGCAAGCAATATAAACTTATTTTCCCCAACTTCTTCATTATTTTTTATATCTGTTTGATCTTTATCTCTGTCACAATTTACAGGTGCACTGTTTTCTTTTACCTCATCCTGAATATTACTTGTGCTTTTTTCGTTTTCATTATGCAGTTCAGAAATCAATGTAGCATGATCTGAGTTTAGAGCTTTGTTTTCCACAGCATCTGTTAGATCAGAAAAACTTTCCAGATTTTTTGATCCACTATCGAGATTTGAGTTTATATTAATTTCTTTTATACCAGAACATGTATCACTTGTTGAACTTTCTTTAATATCAGCTTGACGTGAATCATTCTTTGAAGTAGAATGAATTTCATTTTCATGTGCAGAAATTTGTTCATCAGTGTTTGGTAATTCACACTTTTTACTTAACTGACCATCAGATACAATGCAATCTGCATTCCCATCATTTATTTTACTTTCCAATTCTTTTTTGATTTTATTTTCTGCACAGTTTGGAGAGTCCTTTTTAGAACTGTCAATGTCTTCAACAACTGCTGGTTTGATATGGTTATTTTTAAAGGGCACATCAATTTCTTTGTTTGCTTTACAATCTTTATCTTTTTGAATATGCGATTTAGAATTATTGATTACAACCTCACACTTATTCATTCCTTCACCTGGAATGTCTGAGTTAGAATCTGCCAATACATCATTATTCTTTGGCAAAGATTTAATTTTTTCTGCGTCAGCATTATCACATTTACTTTTACAGGATTCATCATCTGTCTTTTTGTACTCTAAGAGGGATGCATCCCAATGACGATCACTGTTCCACAGTTCGATATTTCCACAGAGCGTTTCATAAGCTGAAGAACTCAATAGCAAGTCAGTAACTAGCTTTTTTGAAACAGCACACGTATTGGACACTCTACCGTGAAAATCATCGTCAATTTTCATCTGGAAAATCTTTAGTGGAGTAATTTCGTTTTCACCAAAAGCAGAAGATATCTCGATTTTACTTTCTCCTTCGCAAGGTATGTTGTCAACCAATTTCTCATGGACTACTGAAATTTGTACTCCCGTGTCTATGATTCCATTTAGAATAATATCTCCACATTTAACTTTGACAAGTTTTAATTCATCTATGTTTCTAGACACGTCCACTGATTTTGAGACAGGAATAGAGATCTTGGCAGTTAGCACTTCTGGTTTTTCTTTTTCTGCAAGGGGTGCTTGTGTTTGTATTAAGTTGTTTTGTGCTGTTGCAGAAGCACTTCTTGGTATCCGATTTTTGGTACATAACTTAGATGTATGACCTTTTTTTCCACAATTATAGCAAGTTAGTTTGAAACTAGCCTTTTGTGGTTTGTTACTCTTACGGAATGGGTACACTCTTGGCGTGTTTACAGCGGACAGCGATTTATTTCTGAAAGCTCTTTCTGGAAGTGGAGAATGAGGTTGCCATTTTTCATTAGTTCTGTCTGTTGATGGATTACCACCAGTCCGTTTTGAGATATTACGAACACTGTCATATTCGTCAAAGTTATCAGCTAATTTGGTTGGAGAAACGAACTTCGCCCAGTCGTCAAGAAGATGGTCTCTTACTTCAAAAGGTACTCTTTTCTTAATTTGGTCAGTAATAATCAAGTCTTTTAACGTGGTAAAATTTGTGATTTCAAGACCATTGATCCATTCTTCAAAATAACTTGTAATTTCGTAGCGAAAATCTCTCCATGATTTTTCAGAGCTCTTTTGGTGCATCACAAATTTTTTTCTGAAGCTTTCAGGATTTAATTTAAATCTCTTGAATAAAATGGCCTTAATGTACTCATAATCTTCAAAATTTTCTTCAGATTCCCTACCAATTAATTGAATGACTTCAGATGGCATTAAAGTCAATAAACATGAAACCCAATCTTTAGGATCAATCTTTGTCCTTTAAGCTTGTCTTTCAAATAAGGATAAATAAATCACAATATCATCTGTCTTAAATTGAATTTGGGAATAAGCTTAATTAAATCAAAATTATGATGTCCATTTTCATTTGTTGGTGGAGTTTGTGTTAGTCCACCAGATTCAATTTCGTGTTTCCTCAATTCAAACTCCATTTGCTCTCTTTTCTGCTGTGCTTCTAATTCTTCTTTCCTTCGTTGTTCCTCAATCTCTTCTTTCCTTCGCTGTTCCTCAAGCTCTTCTTTCCTTCGCTGTTCCTCAATCTCTTCTTTCCTTCGCTGTTCCTCAATCCCTTCTTTCTCCTTTCTTCGCTGTTCCTCTTCTTTTCTTTTCCTCTCTTCAATAATCGTTAAAAACACTTCTTTAGCAAATGATTCATCATATGTATCACTTTGAATTATTTCATTTTTATCACCACGATTTTCATACTTGGATCTACTTAAATTTCTAATTCAGCAGCTAAAACCAGCAAATCCTCTTTTTTCCCACATCCCATAAAAGCAATGTCTCGATTTTAAATAAACCTTATTCTTTGCAAATTTAATAAAAAAAAACTAATTTCTTGTTAATGCATCCTTTAATTTATCCTTAACATTAGTTAAAATATGAACTCCCCGATTGCGGTTTTCTCTTTCTTTGGGGAAACAAAAAAACAAAAAAAAAATCATTTCTATGTGTAACACTGTAGCAGTTGGCTGACGCCAAATACTGATTTCTGATTTTATTCAGTCAATAGACTCTTAGTTTTATAAAAAGCAATTTTTTTTCTTTTTCTATTTAAATATAATTCACAATGAATTTAATTTTATTCAGCACGAAAATCAATCAGTGGAATCAATACTTAATGTGTTGTTCACCTACTCTGGCGAGTCAAACGAAATTACATTTGAACACTGGTGTATTCATTACTTTGACAAGTAAATAAACTAAGATTCCATGATGGAAACAATAATTAACTTTTCATAATCTTAATTAATTATTTTATGTTTACAAGGTAAATTGAGCTCTCACCTTAGTTATTTTGGTTCATAATTATATGCGGGGAAACCCCGATCCTACCGGCTGCGCCAGTAAAAATCCTTTCCTCATTTCAATATAATGGATATTGAACCTTGTAGGAAGAACAAAGCTAAATTTTCAGAATGAACAAGATACTTTTATTTGAATTTTAAAACAGAACCAAAAAAATAAAGGCTGCAACTCTTAACTATCAAAATTTTAAACTCTTAACTACTATAATTAAACTCTTACAACTATTAAAATACTAAAATCTTAAACTCTCTAAACAAAATATATAAAAATCTTCTGAATTCTCTTCTTGTTGCCACACCGTAAAATGCAAGTTCTTGTCCTATTATTTATATTTCACGTTCTTTTTTAAGTCACGATCTTTACAAGTCATGATCTTTACAAGTCACGATCTTTACATTGTTCAATAGTAAAATTTAGGTGTAGAAAAGTCAGTAAAGATATATTAATCATACACATACCCATAGTTGTATTTAATGAGCATAAAATTAAACTACACGTTTAGTCATAATAGTGCTTAAGATTATTGGAGGAATTAAACCAACAAGGATCATTTCATAAATCAGCATCATTTCATAAATTTTCAAGACTAGTTTTAAAGGTTTAAATATAAATTATGGGAATCATCTGCACATTGCAGCTGAAGAAAAGAGTTCTATATTTAAACCTACAAAACTAATCCTGCAAATTTATGAATATTATGCCAATTCTTGTGGCTTCTCCAATAATCATTATTCGGCATGTTATTTTAACTCAAATAAGTCCTCAATATGTTAATGTATCACTACATCTTAATGTAAAGGGATAAGATACGATAGAAGTAGTAATGAAAGAATAGATTGTTTGTCATTAGCAGATTTTATAGATTTCTTGATGTTTCATCTCTGGGCCATTGTCTGTTCTAAATTAAAATATGATACACATTTGTAGTTATGGTCATACTCTGTGTACGTTCCATCATTTAAAAATAGTGGATTGTAAATTGACTTGATATTCCCTCAGTGTAGAACTTAAGAAGCCTGAGAGTCATAATGTTGACTGAAACTTCTTTATTGGCTTTCAAACATTAAATTGGCGGAGGAACGGCGAAGAACACGTTGAAACCTCCAACTTCAGTAACGGCTTACCAAGCAAACCTCTGCTTAGTTGAAACTCCAGTAATTCACAGCAACCTCAAAGCTCTAAAGCGAGCTTTAAAATCCTAACAAATTTGCGTCTGCGCGGCTCCTCGGTACAAAGAAAGAAATACAATTTGCATAAGATCGAACACTCTGGTCCATCAGAATGACAGCCATGGTAATGTTCAGTTCCATTATATATTGTTGTAAGGGCAGCATACACACTTGTTTGATGTCTTCCTCAGAGGCAGAAATCTCAAAACCTCTTGATCAAGACAGCCAGATAATGTGTGGTCAGGTAACAGTAGCTGTATAGCTGAATCCCAAGTTAAGCAGCTGCCCATTAAGATAAGCCTGGCTTACGCTTTGAAAGTGATATGCAGTCTTATTTAATTTTTCTGAATTTTAATGTTCAGATATCAGTTAGCTGAATTAAGCAAAAGGGGATCCAGTTTGGGTTGTGAGATATATTATAAAAGAGACATCTACCATGTCATGAAGAATTTGTGAACCACTGGTGTAGAGCTTGTAAAAACAAAATATTGTGTTTAGCATTATAGTTTAAGAAAATGATTTAGAAATTATTCAAAAGTCACTTTTTATACTCATAAAAGTATCATAGTTTTGTATTTTCGTATATCACTTCTGTATTGCATATTTCAGTACATATTCTTTGTATAATGTACTGAAACAAATAGAAGTTGGTATATTAAACACATTTTGCTCATCATCAAATAAAAACTTAATTAGATTATTAACCTGTTAAGGATTTTAATTCTGAATTATTTCTTTGTGGCTTTGAGTTTTCCTATCTTTTAAACTATTTTTAATTTTACCCATTTTTAGAAATTTATACTTGTAAAGAAGATGAAAGGCTTTAGCTGAGAAATAAAAGATTTAATTCAGAATTTTTATAAAACTTTATTAAAAGGTAATCTGAATAAGCAAAGAAATGCTTAATGTAGTCTTTCTCTCTTCCCCCCCCCTTCATCATTTGAATTGCAATAAAAGAAAATATTTTTAACCCTATTGAAACCCAATTTCTGTCTGAAAATTACTTTTTCTTCAGTCATCAAAAATTAATCACATAATGTTTTTTTTTTTTAATTTTCATTTAACTGTTATAGAAATATATGAGCATAAAAGTTTTAACATAATTTCATTACAGTATCACAATATTATGTACTAATACTAAAAATATAAAATTTAAAGTAATATAAACCCAAGATTAGTATAATTAGAAAGAAATAAGAAATTAATATAAACCCAACATTGAATGACTGATTAAAAATTAAAAGCACTGTAGTTAGTTAATAGGTAAGAAATGGCAGAAAATTTGACAAGAAAAGCAAAATTAACTGAATGAAGTGAGAAATTTAGTTTCAAAATGATGTGTTTCAGATATGGTAAAACTTGAAATAAATCCATAGCTAGTATTTCTGTTATTAAGTTGTTACTTTATTTAGCATAAATAGTAGATATTTTATTTTACATCTAAATAGACAAAATAGCATAACACTGGAATTATTAACATTAAAATTACCTAATTTGATTACATGTAATTTTTATTTTAATATTGTTAAAAATATAACAAACTTGATTTTTTATGTATGTTACAATCTTGGCAACACCCAGTGTATTAGAACATTATGCTTTTTTACAGTCATTCTCATTACTATATTTTTCCCACGTAATTTTTTTAAATTAATTTTTTTACTGTTAATTCCATCCAGATAGAGGTGTAAAAACTGATCATTGAACTGGTGGTCATGAGTATATGTAATTAACTTATTGAAAAATGCATTTAATTGTATTTTAGCTGGTACAGAGATCTGTGTGACAAGAATATTGCAGATAACATAGATTGGGAACCTGGCCCAAACCTTATCAGCACTCAGGTAATGGTTAATTATTTTTTTTTTTTTTTTTACTTTGAAAAGAAATTTTTTTTTAGCATTTAATAATCTTTTATTATTATTATAGATGCGCAGTGTACCCAAATTAATGCGCTTGACATGGGATGGATTTCCTTTGCACCATGATGCTAAACATAAATGGGGATACTTAGTTCCCAATTTTAAAACTGCAGATATTACAGATAATTGTCATTTTCCATTAAAGTAAGTTTTCTTTCATGGTTTTCATATGATTCTTTCAAACATATTGACTTTATTACATTTAATTATTTCACCATTTTAATAATGAGTTGCATTAAAAGTCATGGATCATTGTGCAATACTTCCTTTTAATAACCAGCAAAAGTTTTATTTCTTAATGTTTTTGTGTATTTTAATAATATGTAGTAAAAAATGTTTCTTGTTTTAATTATTGTTTTCAAAATTATCATAAAACCTTTTCTTAAGACCTTTAACTTTATTTTGAATATTGTAACTGTTTTATCAGTCCAGTAATTAGAGCATTCTAAAGTTCATATCAGTATACTTGAAATCTGGCTGTTTAGCATTTTTAAATTCCAGATCAGGGAAAAGAAAAAAAAAAAAAAAATTCAAACATTTTTACCAGAATGTTTTTACCAGCATAATGTAACCATTTTATTACATATAGTATGCCTATTCCCTTGATTTTGTCCTGCATATTTTTAGGTATTACTTTGAAGTTTCTCCTAAAAGATTTTAGACTCTAAATTTAAAAGTGATCTTATTTCAGTCAACATATTAATTGATCACTTTCTTTTTACTGGTGACTTTCATTTTAGTCATAATAATAAAACTTTCAGTCTAAAAACACTGAAAACAATTGAATAATACAAAAAGTTGGTTTACATCCTGAGCAAAAAATAATTTTCTGCTAAACTAATTTCAGAATTCAACTCCCTTTAACAAAACTTGCCTCAGATTTTACTGAAAATTTTTTCATCAGCTATTCCTTCTTAAAGTACTCTGTAGACCATTGTGGTCAACAATTTTTGGTTCATCAAAATAGGGCAAGCTCTTATAGGCAAAAATTACAGTTTACAAGTGAGAAGACTGCTTTTCTGATTTGTGCACAACTATTTCCCTATTATCCAAAATTACATTGAAAGTGGCAAAAAAACAATGGAAACTCAGCTGCCTGTTGTTCTTTTAATTGCAATTTCTATTATATGTGAGTGTCTGAGATAGTACAATGAGCAAAATGAATCTAGCAGAAAATAAAGAATAAAAATTAGTGCAAGACAACAACAACAAAAAAAAAAAATCATAATTTAAAATAAGGCATATTATGCAATTAGATATTCCTCTCACTCCTCCCCCCCCACTGTATTTAGAATAAAAAGCTAAAATATTATTTTAAAGAATATAATATCATATTTTGTTTTAATCTAGATTGAAAATTTGAGCAATCTAGGAAAATAAAAGATATTTGATATTTATCATGGCATAGCTAGAGAGTATTTTGAAAAGAGTCTAAATACTGTATTTTCTGTATACAGTAGTAAACAAACTGAGGAACTATAATGTGACTTTTCAAGTCTGATCTTGATCATTATAGATACTGTATAATATACTAGGCTAAAAATTTATCTTTGTTATCAACTGCTCAAATCTAGTGGTGGTAATGTTAGAAGAAACCTTCTGTTCTGTTATCTGTTATGATGATAGGTGCAAAACTGATGAGTAATCAAAGTTCTCATGTGTTTCTTCAGTTTCTTGTTGAACTATCATTATCCAGTTTTAGCTTCTGCATATAAAATTAATTTCAAAAAATAATACTGCATCAAGTTATTATAAATCAAGGTATAAGATCTAAGTTTCATTTCTAACAGTAAAACTGATAAAGAATTATGCATAAATAAAAACAGTACTATTTAATCTTATTGAAAAAAATGATGTTGTAATAATATTAAAATAAGTTCAGTAGTTGCATAACTCAACTCTGACTGTAAAGGGAAGTTAATTCTATGTAAGGGCATTGCTTTCATTCCACAATTGATTTTTCTTAACTGCTAAGTTAGTAAATATTATCATGTTCAAACATTAGAATCTGATACATCAAATTGAATAATAAATGAAAATTTTTAATATGTTTCCATAAGATCTCTCCTCTTCATAATTAAAATTATACATCTATACTACTATGTTTTCAAGGAGAATGACATAAATATTTATTTGCAGTAACATTTGATTTTTTAAAAATATATATACACATATATATTAGTATTTTTAAATAGTTAGTAATGCATACTTACTGTTATTTAAAATATGATATAAATTATTATCTATCCTTTCTTTGATTTTCTGTAATCATGTAATTTCAGGAATTTTTTATGTGTCGTTTATCATAATGCGAAAACAAGTTCAAAACCTCAGAATGAGCCAAGGATTGACTTATTTTGGTCCAAAATAAAAGAGCCTGCCGAAAATAAAAAAGAAGAAGCTGAAATCTGGAAGTCAATCTTAGCCAAAGGAAAAAAAGAAAATCCTGTAATCCTTTTAAATATGTCATTTGAATATTCTTAAAGTTCTTACCTCCTATATATCCGTTTATTCACAGGTTGTAGATTTCAAATGAACTAGGTTATTCCAAAGTTTTCCTTATATATATATGTAGAATTTGACTTGATTCACAGCATGAGAGCACGAAGTAATATTTAAATGGTTTATTTAATATAAAGAAATAAAAGTAATTAAGAAAAGTATATAAAGATGAAGTTAACGGTATGCAGGATTAACATAATGATGTAAAGGCATAACATCGAAAGCACAATATAAGTTTATAAACTCTTGAAGACGTGTGAGCCGTCTGCTCACGTCTGCCCTCCACTCTCGACCAGGTCTCAGTGCTGTCTGGGATGATTCTTACTGCGCTGGGTGATGCTATACTGATGACGTCATAACGGGCAATTCTACTTCAGCATTGGATGTTGTGATTTCCCACATATATATTGTATATTGTGCATGTTCATACATATCATATTTATCTAAACATAAATTTTGTTGCAAGGAATTCTGTCTTGCAAATTTTGTGCTTAAATTGTGTGTTAATTATTATGTAAGTCACGGAAGAACACATTTCACATATCATACTATTTTAGTTTAAAAATGCGTCTATACTGCTAATTTTGTAAAACGTATGTTATAATATTGCTTTGCGTACACAAAAATGCTTGTGATATTAAAAAATTTCAATAAGGTGATGTTAGTCTCAAAGATTCCCTTTGTTGTTCTAAGCATCATCACTCTTGGTAATGATATATTATAAACTGCTGTTGCAAGAAATCATCATTCAACTTTAAAAGATTTACTGAAAAATATTAATTCATTGTTATCAGCATCTGACACCATTTACAAGGGGTGTTTTCATCTTTACAACTTTTGTAAATAAGTTCCAGATTAATTGATAAATATTACTAAGGAGATTATATCAACATCTGAACTACTTTCCATTCTTGAGAGACTCCATTGCTGTATTTTAGCAGTAAAGTAAGTGATTTTGGAAAGTAGGGTACCATACAAGAATAAGTATTAAGGGAAATGAGATTAAGAATAAATGGTGGGTTCATTCAAAGAGACAGACTTTGCCATCAGTTTAAGTTTTATAAAATATTTGGAGATAATTATTATTTGATCCAAATAATAATTGTTAAAATACATCATGAACAGCCTAATCAACTGAAAGAGAAGATATGTTTTTGGTCGGTCACAAATGTATTTTTTGCAAAAATAATGCATGTTCTTATAGTGCAAGAATCGTTTGTATTAAGATTCAGAAATTCAACTGTTAAAAGCTTCTGCATTCTTTGTAGTCTCTTTGCTTTTCATCTGAATTGCCTTTATTTGTAACGTTTTTTAATGAAAAACAATAAGGTTAACAAGACTCATTGAAACTGAACTTTTATTACTTTATTTCCCTAATTTTTCATTTAATTTTAGAACTATTATTAAAAATTATGCTTGATTACTTCAATAATTAAATTTTTACTAAATATTGCTTTAGCACTTCAGATGCAAATGCCTTGGCAATTTTATGCATAACAATAATCGCTAATTCATTTAATATTATCTCAGAATATGCCATTAAGATTAATAAATGATTAATAAATTTTAACTGTCAGCTTCAATGACTGTAATAACAAAAATACTCAAAGTGAAGACTGACGTTATCATGACTTTGCATCATCATGTCATTCTCTAAATTTCATTTAATGTTATTGTAAAATTAACACTAATTGGAAACATTCTTAATTGTATCTTTTCTTGCTTAATCTGGGGAAGGGGTGGTCTCTGTATTTTTCTGATCCTATGTTGCTCTTAATTATAAGATGCAGCACTGAATTTCATTACATTAACAAAAAATAATCTTTGATTCTAAAAAAAATTCAATGGAATAAGATGCTAAAGTACATGTGGCAAATATTTTTTTTTTTTTTTATAATCGAATTTTAATTTTTTAGCAAAAATAATTTTCTTAATAATTAATTTGAGAAAACTTATTGCTTTGTAATAATTTCTAATTCAGAAAAATCTATGATCCTGTCACACCATATTTTTATCAATACTTGTATGGGTTGGCATGTGCCTTAAAACTGAAGAAATGCAGTATAGTCTCTTTATTTATGAGCACTCATTATTAACTTTCATCATGCATGTATGCACAAAATTTATGACAAATTCTGTTTTTAATGCACGATTTTTGCATATCGAAGCTGAGATGTCTGAAGGTTATTTCTATTCCTCCTTTCTACACTTCCCCACATCATAGAATGTGCCAGCAGGAAGTCATTTGACTTTTTCTTGTTTTAACTGGGCTTTTGTGCTACGTGTCAGCTTTTTCATAAAATTTACGACATGTGCATGCTCGTGTTTTAAAATTTGGAAAATATTTTTCTCTCAAATATTTTCTAATTTTGTGTTGTTAATTGCCGTGTATTATTTTAATTTGTATATTTTTTATGGCAAAAACAAAAATGATGTGCAACCACTATGTTTGCACATTCTTCAAGAATTACTGATGAAAAAAGGAAGACAAGGAAAAACTTTGGAGGGGAGAAATAGCGATTCCATTCTTATTTTCTTTTATTCTATTTTTTAGAAATAAATAAAAACAGTAAAGTATTTAAAGTTGTTTAACCCGTAGAAGTAAATTTCTTGAAATTTGTGGGTGTGAAATTGTGTTTTCTTTTTATTTGTCTATGTGCCTGAAATATAAAGTAGCTTTGATTTTAAAATATAATTATTAAATAATAAATGTAAATTTTGTAATGAATAAATCATTGCATTTCCATCTCACTAACATAAAACTTAAAAATAATTCACTCATATTTGAATGTGATATTATTTGTATTTTGCAATGATAAGGTTAATATGCTATTTCTTAACAAATTTATTATTAATATTCACTCATTTCTGTCGTTTTTCGTGCCAAAAAAGGTAAAATAACAGATGTCGTAAAAAATATGACGCGTGCGTGCTCATGAAAAATTGCCAAGCATGCGTGCTAGAAGGTTAATAACAGAACTTCACCAGGTGACAAGTTTGTGGCTAAATTTAAAAAGTGAAAAATGAGCATTCAAGATCATTAGAACCATTTTTAGTTTGCTCAGAACTGTGGATGCTTCATGTAATATCATTATTAATGAACACGTGATTTCGTTAAGTATCACGTATTTAGATCTAATCTTGATAGATTATCATTTAGCAATCATGTTACCTATGCAGTGACTAGTTTAAAATTGACAATTCTAAAATTAGAATTGTCAATTTAAGCCCAGCACCTATGTAAATGACAAAGTACATAAGGCTTTTATGAGTACCTATGCTTTTATTGTGTGCTGGTTAAAATTAAACATTGAAACAAAATTGCTGTTTTAATTTCTATCCACAATAAAGGTCTATCATGATGCATACAGCTTCTGTCTGGGCAACTTTGTTATGCTACAATCATTGCCATCATGCTATTAGCTCTTGAGCAGTCAAATGCTTTTGAGCAATGTCACTATAGTTCTGAAGTGCAATACACATATCTTAATGATCGGGATTAGAAATTTATCCAGACATACATAAAACAAAAAGAAAATAATCAGCTAAGTTAAATTGAAATAAACGAAGTGGTGTCATAGTCTGTCAAAAATCTAAACTAAGCTACCATGGCAGAATGTGGGTTCTAAACAATATCTTTGCCAGGAGTAGACCTAATCTCTGGCTATCAATACAAAGAGTTATCTCATTTTTAACTTCATTTAAACCGCGTGTGTCTGTTAATTTTTAAAAATATTTACATACAAGTCAGCATTTAAAAAAATTTTTAATTTTATGAAGTTTAAAAGACATTAAAGAGGAGGAGATATGATGAAAGAAGACTGTGATATCTTGGGATATATAAACTTTTTTTAAAATCCTAGAGATATCTGAAATCTCATAAAGATTATGGTATCATGAATAAGATATCTCATCTTTGGTAATCTTAAGAGCATTCTAAATGTAATAGTTCTGGTATTAAATTTTATGTTCTTTATTATATTACAATCATGACAGTAGAAATGATTAAGGAACTTTGATTTTTTTAGAGTAAAACCACTGTTTTCTCTATCATCGTTGTGAAGTCAGAACACCTTTAACTATTTTTTGGTTTCTGAAAAGACTTTTTGTCTTCTGCTCCTATAAATTTCTAGTATATTTTCAGTTGTAATATACCAGTGTAAAGTCAAATTTTTATAAGCTCAGTAATATCTCATTGTCTGCTGATGATAGTTCTATAATATTCTATGTATAACTATATAACATAAAACATATAAAATGATGGATTTGGTGCAATATTGGCCAGTCATGTAGGATCTGAGTAATTCTAGTTTAAATGATAACATGGCGATTAAGTACGCTAATTCAATTTAATAATATAAATGAATTAAATAAAATATTAATCAATATATAAGCCATAAACTGGGTAGAATAGAATATAGTGTTATTGAGCTTTATTTAATTTTTTCAGAGTCTTTGAATAATTCTTTGTAGGGTTTCAGTAAATTCTGAAATACCTTTTTTTTTAAACTTCACTTCCCTTTTCATGGGGAAAACCCAGCTTCCCCTCCCCTCCCCCCAATTTCAACTCCAGTGTTATGAAAATGTCGTGACATATGATCATTTATTTTGATCGCTTCTTCTAAACCTTCTACATTTCAAGTCATGGCTTACTATATAAGCTATTATTATAATGCTCATATGTGGAGTTCTACCTAAAGGTACAATTCATAACTGTGAGTTGCACGAACAATCATTTATTCTATAAGGTTTCATTATTTATTACGTAAAGCAGAAAACGGAGCAAATCAATACCCTTATCTTGCAATTTTCTTCACCAGTGTCGAAGCATACCAGTATTTTGGCAAGAACTTCAATGTGAAGGTACAAGTGAAGCTCAGAATTTGAGCATTAAACAAGTGCATGTACAAGCAATAAAAATATAAAAATAAAATAATATAGTATATGAATTTAACAATAAATTAGGAAAGATTGTAATACTTGGAAAGATGTACAAGTTTCAGAATTTGCTTCAGTTTTTTTTAGTACGAAATCTATTTTTTCAGTTTTTAAACAATATTCGGATTTTTTAAGGAATCTTATTTTTACATACTATTTGGATAATCATAATATTAGATTTTATCCAAGTAACATTCTTTATTAAAATTTTATTTTAGGTCAGTTCTGATGGAGGAGATCTCAGTATAGGACCTCATGACATTGGTATTGATGGTTGTTTATTTTATCGTCTCCCTCATAAGGTTAGTTGCAAAAAATTTTGTGCCCTTTTCTGGAAAATGATATTCTGATGCTATTTTTAGAATAGTGCTGCATTTTTAATACATTTCATTTTTATAACATTTTTAGTTGTGATTAAGTTCTGTCTGATTAAGTCTGTTTTTAGTTGTGATATTCTGAATCTGCTGACAAACAATTTCTTTGTTTTGCCTTGTTTGGAACTGTTAAGTTTCTAATACCTTTGTCACTTACTGAAATGCATCAAAAGATTCAAAGTATACTCATTCCCTTGATAGTATTTCAATGTTTCCTGTATTATTAATTTTTATCGCAATGTTCCCACTCTGAATTTGGATTTATATTGATTGCTGCCTATAAACTATTATTATGGCATCTATTTTTTTCTTACATTATTCAGATTATATTATTCTGATTACATTATTTAGATTTACATTATTCAAATTTCTGAAATATATCGCTGAACAACTAGTCCTGTCACTACAAAGTAAAAGAACTAGATCTCTCAAAATAGCCATGGCCAGATTCAGAAGTGGGCATCTTAGATGCATGAAATTCAACAGATGGAGGACCTTTCTCTCGTGTACCTATTCTCTCCCTGCCTCTTCCGCACACCTACTGGATTGTATAGGCATCTCCCTGAGACAGCTGTCGGATGAGCAGTATGATGTTAGAGATTCATTTGTGCAGTAAGGTCCCTTGGACTTGGTGTAGGCCTCAAGGGGATTAGTAACAAGGACTGCCCCAAGGGGATTAGTAACAACAATATCAGATTGCTGAATGATTACCAGTGATGTTGCTATCGCCAAGTAACCTTAGTAAAATTCTCAGAATTTACTTTTATTTCATCAGTCTACCCTACAGGGTTGGACATCACAATCCAAAATGTATCAATTTCTGCTGCTAAAGAAATTTTATAAGACACTTCTTAACAAGAGACATCATCTTATTTCATATTTGCCACAAATAAAGTGGGCAGGCCAGTATTAGATCGTATATTATTCTTAATGCCAAAAAATTAAAAATGTATTTTGTGGGAATGATAGATTTATAATATTAACAGTATTAATTCAGTAGTTAAATGAATCATAAGTGCATTTTTACGACAGCAAATGCATGTATGCTAACTAGGAATTTCCCCCTTCCCTTCTTTATCCGACCGAACAGTGATATCTTCCTGAACTGGAAATAAATATGCTGAGTCCTTTACAGTTATATAATCAAATTTTATTTCTTATCTCTGCTGTATTAACTAACAAATCATACTGAAAAATATTATATTCCTTTGCATATTTCACCCCCTCCCTTTTTTTCCTAATTTTATCATTTGAAAATTGAGAGGAGGAAAATGCAAGTAATTTTTTTGAGGGACGCAGTTACAGTAAGAATATGTAATGAAAAGTAGTCATAGATAAACTACAGGTAACTGTCACAGTATTATTTCTTTAAAAGAAACCTACATTCCAATAAGAATACATAGTGATATTAATGTTGCAATATCTAGTAAGATATCTTCATTTCTACTTCCCTGTAATTTGAATCTTACCCGCTCTATTGTTGTCTCTGCCACTCCTTAGGCCTCAAATCATCATAAATAGTTAAAGAGTGTGAATGTGCAGCTGACTAAAATTAGGCTGAATTTCAATGCTTGTTTGCTTTGCTGATATTGATTGGGTTTTTTATTAAGATGGCATAAAGTTCAGCAGTTAGAAGGGAACTTTGGAAATAATTTGCGAGCTTTACTAATAAGATACAAAACTTTCTCTATGGATGAATCCATTTTAAAATTTAGGGAAGCTCATTCTCTGAATGCATTGAGGAAGGAGAAAATTAGGCAGGTATTTTTTAAATTATCAGAACCTGGTGCTAAAATTTTACAGGAATGGGGGAATACACGAGGAAACTCTTTTATAAGTGTCATCTCATTATCCTATTTGTTTAAGATATTAGCACCTGATGTGAATTTTAATTTCTTTATTTTTGCATTCTTTTTAAGAGCCATTATTAGTTTATATTTCTTAGATTATTTCCATTTGGTCTTTGAATAACATTCTTACTAGTCTGATTAGATATCGCATGACTTAGAAAAAATTATCTTTATGTTAAATTTGGTGATTTTTATGTATGCATAATTCTTTTATTATGAAAAAAAAATATTATAAGCTCAAACACACAAACACAGAATTATTTTACTGCACTTTAATTTTTTTTTCCTTCCCGAAAAAGCAGATTCTTAAATCAATAAATGTTCTTAAATCAACATCAGTTGAAATGTGTTGCCATTTTTATTTGATGGAGATGATATAAATGGTAAATGGGATAGTATTCTTCTGGGAAATATTACTCAACAGTTGTAGATATGTCATTGCATCAGTATGACTGAGCTGTTTACACTAAGAATGATGAAAGGTAACTTATATTAATATCCTTATAAAGATGAAAGAAGTCAATGTTAAAGTCATTGTTAGCCTTATTCACCCCCCACCCCAAAAGTAACTGATTTTTGGAACACATTGCGATGTCATAATGACACCAGTGAGCGCTGCAGTTAAAATTAGCATAAAATTCCTAAGTTTCACAATGTTATTCCTCATAAAAATTAATTGAAAATCACATAAAATTATGAAAATGTAAAGAATACAAAACAGACAGCGTTATAAATATGCTTTAGGGTTAAAATGACATCAATGGACATTATAGCCTTATAAGGTATTTCTTCCGCCTTCTTAGCATGCTTTCATGGTGTGGTGGTCTGCACACTCAGTGCGTAATTGAGAGGTCCGCAGTTCAATTCTCGGCAAAGGCATTGCATATTTTTCATCTTGCCTGCTTCCAAAAAAAAATACCTAATGTCTCTACAGTGGCACCTGAATTAAAAGGGTGTTGGGTTATGATTTTCCTCACCCAGGATTAAGCAATTGGGTCCCCTAAAAAATATCCCCAGTTGCCCTTTAAAGGAGGGAGTATATTTGCATGTCTTCAATGTGTGGTGGTCTGCATGCGTAATTGAGAGGTCCGCTGTTCGATTCCCGACAAAGGCGTTGCATATTTTTCATCTTGCCTGCTTCCAAAAAATACCTAAGGTCTCTACAAACTCAATCTGATTTTGTATTCTGTTGGTAGTTATTAGCATATTGTTCTAAAACGTTTCAATTTTTTTTTTTTTTTTTTTTTTTTTTTTTCTATTTCATAGTTTTAACACAATTTATATGAAATAAATGCAAATATGATTTACATTCCAAACTGTACATGGTAATTGTAATAAGTTTTTGTTGATTGATGTAAGCTATATTTTGTAACATATTTTATAAAAATTCCTTATTTTAACTTATGAATGGCTCATTTAAAGATATACAATTGTATATACAATTGACAGAAAGCTTTCAAATACTATATCAATTAAAACGTTGAATTGTTTTAGATTTACAGCTATGGTGCAGTTAGTATAGTACTTAGATAGTCAATATTAATTAATGCTAACTACAAAGTAAGTTTTATTTTATCTTAGATATAAAACTGGCTGTTTTTTCACAATTTTCAATCCCAGGTATTCTCTCCCTCTCTTTATTTCGTTTATTTTTTAAACATTGTATTAGACTGCAACTTTGTCTTATTCTTTTTTTAGGATGGCCCTCATAAAAGAGTTGGTAACCCTTTGTCAAAAGATTTTTCCTTTAAAGTTGAAGATGGGACTTTTAAAACTTGGGGTGAAGGCCAAGCTGATAGAGCTCTTCTGCTTAGTAAGATGATATCATATTGGAAAAATAACCGTGAGCGTATAATGTATGTGTTAATTTGATAATTGTTTTAATAATTTCCAATCTTTTGTACTTATTTTAAATGTTTCTTGAAAGAGGATATTTCAAGGTTAATCATTATTGCTCATTTCCATAATCTTTCCAGTATTCCTCCGAAGAAATTATATTTCAGTCTAGAATATTAAGATTTTTATAAAATTAGTATAAGCTTTAGTTTAAGCACCCTTAATTACTGAAATTTTTAGCATTTAAATGTTCAAGGTATCAAAAATTATGCAACACTTATAAAAGAAATGACGCTAATTAAAATTAATAAGTATAAATATGTGTAAAATAATAAGTAAATACAACAAGCTCTTGTTAACAAAAATATCAAGAGTATGTGTTACAAAAAATTTATGTTAACTAGAGATTCAGATTTCATTTTTGGAATAATTTTTTCTATACTTTAATCATTTACAGTATATAGTTACATAATACTGCATTATATAATGTATGTCATCATAAGAAATACTACATTAATTACTATACTATAACTTGTAAAATGCACTCACTGATCACCAACTTTACAACTGACAGTACTCATGGCTTCCGTAAAACTAGCAGTTGATTCCGAAGCTTCATTCCACAATATCAAAGGTGTGTAATATTTTTTGGCAGGTGGGTAGAATGATATTGTCCTCCTCACGTTTTTCTGATGACATTTGTTGCACCTCAGTTACAACTGCTTGTTCCTCAGATTCCACTAGAGCACACATGACAATATCATCATCTGCTCTAACAAACTTTTCAAAACTCATTGTTAATGCAATGGTCCAGATTTTCAAGCAATGTTACTCATGCTGGCCATGTTATAAAGAACACAGTGTATTCTGTTAGGTTCTTGATTAAGACGGACCAAAAATTTCTGAATGCAATCTTAGCAGAGAAACAACAAGAGAAATATATGAAAAACTTTGAAAGTTCATGTTAAATGATAAAATCTAACAATGCAATGGACTAAAAATCAGTTAAAGTTCATGCTAACCAAAATTCCCATTAACTGATAAAACTCTGTATAAAATCATATACATTGCTGCCAGGACAAAATTTTATTCTTATTAACCGAGTGTTCACGTTAAGTGAGTTCGTATCAAGAGGGGATTACTGTATATTTTAACAGGAATATCTCGGTGGCATTTAAAATTATCAGCTACATTTTATTTTATTATTTATGCTTATGCATGTTAAAAATAATAATAAAATTAAAATATCAGTAAATATTTACATAGAAATAGTCAGGGACTTTTGTAGTATTTTTAGACCACAAATTAGGGGGAATAACAGTTATACTTTATGATAAATATATATATCACCTTTTGGGGGCCATGTTAAGTACCATTTCACTAAATGATGTTAATAATAAATAATTTTTTATTGGTTTTCAAAAACTGAATATCAAGCATCATTGGGAAACTTATAGTGTTATGAATTAATGTTCAAAAAAGTTTGCATTATTATTTTTCTCAACTGCAGAGTGACCATCACACATGATGTGTATCCCTTATAGCTACAGAAATCAGACATCAGAGAATGTAGCAGATTCAAATTACAGATATCATTTTTTGTTTCCCATTTCTGTTTTTAAGTGTTATTCTTTTTATTGCAGCTTCTAAAGGAGGGCTAATATTTTAAATATGTAAGAACATTTTTTATGCATTAGAAAATGAATGTTAAATTAATGTATTAATTTAAAATTGTATTCGAATTTGACTTTTCTGTTAAAATGATTTCAAATATTGGAACTACATTTTTATGAACTTTCGCACTAAATTCTGCATCTTTTGTGAGGAAGGGGGCAGGAATTCAGCTAAGAGGGAAAGTGTTAATAGAGCAAAATCATCGAATTCATTTTTAAAAATATATATTCTCTTGATTATATACATATATTTTTTAAATGAGATTAAGAAATAAATTTGACAAATATATTAAGTATATGTTAGAAATAATTAATTTTTATTTGCTACTTGTGTTATTAGATATTAAAGAAAGTAAAATCAACATTATTATTTAATACCAGTCAGTGATACGCTATAAATGAAAGTTATATTGTTTTTATTGAATATGTAGCATAAATGATATGCTCACATTCTTGAATTTGATATCCAGTGCATTTTGATTTTGTATGAACCCATGTTTTTGAGTTTCATTTCAAGAAGTGTATTTGAACTCATTTTAAGTGTCTTTCCATACCTCTTTTCCCTCAAACAAGAAAAATTCAAACAAATATATGGTCATGTAATGTTAAATAAAAAGAGTGAATTTCACTGAAATCTACTGATGATTATAGATTTGCCATGACTGTCATAGAGCATACTAAATAGAACAAGTTTTGTGTAGTTTATGAAATTTCAACTTTACAGTTCTAATATTTTTAAACATGAAGCATCTCTGTGCCTCTTATTACTGTATTATATGAAATGCTTAGGGTATCAATGAAAAGGGTATATCACAGAAAGGTGCTTAGGGACTCAAGGATCCGGGGGGGAGATCACAAAAATTTCTCATTTCCTGTTTTAAAATGGAGTGTCTGGGCTAGATAAACCAAGACTAAAAGAGAAAGAATGTCAAAAAACAGGCATTATGCTTACTATAAATGTATGTGAGACCACCAAAATCTTTTAATTGCTGAGGACTTTTAACAGTCTTAATCCGACCCTGATGAGAAAAATGTGAATATTCATGGTGTAAGAGAAAGGCAAGTTGTTTATAAAGAGATGAACCTCTTAGCTTCTATTAAAATGTTCATTTACTGCATACATATTGAATTTTTTCTGGTACTGAAACAGCACACAAGCAGATATACTGCAATAATGATCGATCAGTTACTAAGTCTGATTACTAAGTCTGAACCATCTTAATGGAGAGCGTCATCCATATCAATTTGCGATATGGGTGATACTGTTAATTATTCATATCAAATGTGTATTTTTTACAAAAGCCATTTGATTTGTATGACAATATGTGTTGTTAACCTTCCTGTACAAAGAATGACGTTTCTGTTGCTAAGCCTTTTTCGCTGAAAGAAGGTGCAGTGTGAATATTTTGACATTCAGACATGAAAGATTAGATTTCCATGTTTCCTAATTCATTGGTCATTATTACCATTAGCTAACTGTTTTCTTTTGAAATAGGTTTGGCTGAGTATTAATTCATGGCACTCTCTGTTTAGTGGCATTATCTCTTTATGGCACTCTATGGTGCTTTTGTCTAAGTGCAGGAGTAATGATAACACCTTAGATGGTTTATATGTATATTTAATTTACTGTTTCACACATTTGTAAATACATGTACTAAATAACATGTTTATTTTATTTACAGCTCTCAGATGGTTGTGTGGTTAAAAGAGGAAGAATTGCCTGCTGCAGTTAAATTGTAAATATGTGCCCATATTAAATGAATTTTTCAAATATAATTTTACGTTATTAAAAAGTATATAAATATATTTTATACATATATGAGCTCTTTCTAAAACAGTCATTCACAATTATAGGTGATTTTGATCTTTTGTGAGGTTAGTTGACTTTTAAGTAATCTTTAATACCATTGTTTGTTATGTTGTCAGATGTTAACATGCAATTTGAACATTTGGTTCATTCTTAAAATTTATGTCAGTTCCAAATACGAAGACTATTACATTACTTGAAAGATAATTTGATGTGGAATTTTTAAATTTTATAAGCTCAACTGAATAAAAGTTTATTTTTTTCTTTAGTCACTTTAAAAAGTAGTCATCATGAGAAGTTTCTTGTATATATTGGGTCATATAAAAAGTCTCCACAGTTTTTTACAACTAGATGGTATTGATGCCTCTACATCCAGTGACAGTCACCTGATTGTCTTAAACAAACATGTGTTTAAAAAGTGACATTCAACTTCCATTGTTTGTGAAGGTAGTGTTCTAATTCATTGCTTGTGTAAAAGTTACATTTATTTGAAAATTAGTGAAATATCTGAAGAAATACACTATATGATGCTTTGTTTACTATTAAAAAAAGTAATGCTGAGAAATTTGTGAAGTGTACAGTGAGAATGCTCTGAGTAAACGGTTATGTTCAGTGTTCAATGGTAGGGAAAGGGAATTGTCCAATATGAGCTGCTGTATGGTCAAACCATCAATTCAGCCCTGTACCATGCACAACTTGAGCATTTGAATGAAGCAATCCAGAAAGAGCGACTAGAATTGGCCAATAGAAAGAGTTGTGTTCCATCATGACAATGTGCGGCCAAATACATCTTTGATTACTCGGAACAAATTGACAGAACTTGGTTGGGAAGTTTTGATGCGTCCACCATATATCCCAGACCTTACACTATCTGACTACTATTTGTTTAGATCTTTGCAAAACTTTCTTGGTGATAAAAAATTGGCTGACCAAAGAGCCACTGAAAATCACTTGGCCAAGTTTTTCTATGATAAACCACAGAAGTTCTACACCAATGGAATTATAAAGCTACCCAAAAAATTTCAAAAGGTCATAGATAATAATAGTCAATATGTACTTGATTAAAATTGATTTTCCATAAAGAAAATCTTTGTTAAAAAATGTACCAAAAAACCGCAGAGACTTTTTATGTGGTTCAATATAAAAGGAAAGATATAAAAGAAGAAAAATGCACTCTACCAAAATACAAAAAAAGAGAGATTTCTTATTTAAATACTAATCAGGATATTTAGGATTGTTAATATTCAGAGTTGTTGAATCTATTTTATTACACAATCATAAACTGGATAACCTATTGAGTACTCTTCTGAGATACTTTGGCTTTTTGAACTTAAGTTACAAATTTCGTATTGCATATCATAATGAAAATAATTACGTATGAGAAGAGTGATATTAAAATATGAATTATATGTATGACTTCAATTACAGAGGCATTAGATTCAAGTGGATGAAAAGTATGTCTTACTCAATATCCCAAATGAGAAATCCATATGTTGTCACAAATGTAATTATCAGCTTAAGATTATATATATAAATGGATTATGCAAAATTTTCTTTGAATTTTCTCTACGAATATTTTGTAGTGAAAGTTTTGAGGTTTCAAAATTTTGTTATTTGTGTTCAATTGTGTAGACACTTTTATTTTGTCAAAAATATTTCCACTTGTAGAAAAAAATGGAATCAAAATTATATTTTATTATTTTTTAAAGGATAATCAAAGTCATGAATATTTTGTTTAAATAGGGTTAAAAGTTTATTTCTGAAACCTTTTTATTGCTTTACATCATTTTACATTTTTAAATATATGGGAATAAATTTTTGTGTGTTTCATTTCTGATATTTGGAATAATATTAAAATATCTCAAAGACCTAAAATTTTAAAAGTTTACAAATTAATAGCCCATAATTAATCCACATAGATGGAGGAATATGTTAGTAATCAAAGATCCACGCAGTTAGATAAGATTTCTGCTAGAATTGAAATGAAAATCTAGGAAGCTAAAAAAAATCTAGGAATTTTAAATATGCAGGTGAATCATAATTCCATATGGATATCATGTTTTGCAACAAAACATTATATACAATAATAAATTACTATTGCTGAAATTGCCAGTTTTATGAAAGATAATATGTATGCATATTTATATAGTAAGCTTTTACTGCAGAGAAAGTTGTGGAGTAATTTGATAAGTATTCCAGAGATGCATTCAATATGCTATTCAGTTTGTGAATAATAAAAGAATCATAAGCAGTTTTTATTTTATTTATAAAAGTTTTCCTTACATTTTATGGAAAGTATTCAGGAAAAAAATGTAGCAAAGACTTAAATTCTGTCTCTAATTTTTATGGATTTTCATGCAGAAGGTACTGATCATATTTAAAAAAAAAATGATTGGCTGTAACATTTTTCATCTTTTCCTTTGAAAGTCATGAATGCACCTTATTAAGACCATATATTATACTTAACTTCTTATATTTATGTTCAGATCATTGTCTATTCCAGTATAATACGAGCTTTAAATTGAAACTGTTGGCACTATTTTCAAACTGAATTACAAATTCATCCCTTATTATACAGCTTGGAAGATGCAAGAAAAGCACAACATTAGTGTGAACCAAATTTCAAAATTTCTTATGAATAACAAATTGGATTATTTTGAACCAAGAGTATTTGAAATTCTGTTACTTTAAAATTAATCATCAATTCTTTAGTACTGTTATTTATTTATTTATTTCAAGTATTTTCCTCTTTCAACAAAAGTATCTAAGAATATGCAAATACATATATTTTTTCAAGCTCATGAAGATGCAAAAATGTGAATAATACCTGAAAATATTGGGCATAAGTAACAAAATAAGGAATTACATAAATTTTTACTTTGTGCTTACAATATATATATATATAATGCAAAATAAAATTAAAATTATTTTTTAAATTCATCACATATTAAATTCAGAATAAAATACATGCAAAAATCAAAAAATCAGAAGTGCACTGGCAAACTGCAAAAAATAGAGGGTCAAAATGTGCCAAAACCAAAAATGAAATATGAAATTTACCTTCGTTAATCATCATCAGGGGCTGGTGCAATGAAAGAAGTAGTTTCAGTTTGGCCAAGAGTGAAAATATTGTGTCTTCTCCCTAATTCTCTCATCATACCAATAAATTATTTATATAGATATATTAATATAAAAAAAAATACGATGGCTTGCTTGCGAACCAGAACCTTTAATTAATTTCTGCAATTCAGGATCGTCTACCCAGTACCTCTAGAACATTCCCGCCTATTACATAACCTCCTCAGATAAATGCTGCGTCATAATTTTCTTTTTTCGAGAAGCACTCTGTTACATACCATTCATATAATGCTGAGTCAGATTCTCCTAGACAGATGCCTTCTCGCCTTCGTCCTGCTAACGCTTCCGCTATGCTCTCGTTATTTGTTAGAACATTAAAGTATTAAAGTTAAAGTCAGTCGTATCTAATAGTCAATACTGATAAGTTTATTTGATTACTTCATCTGGAAAAGTCTGCTAAATTAAATAAAGATATGCTTGCTGTTAAAATGAAAAGTCTGAGTCGTCATTTTTCTCCGTGTTTCAATCACCCCCCTTCGTTAACCTGCCAGAAGTGTAATGGAAAGCCTCACATTCGCCACGATGTGTTGGAATAACTGAAAACATTACATATATATGTTTGAATGATCTAAAATTCACTTAGTTCAAAAACAAGTTTTTCTAAGACTCTCTCTCTATATATACATACACACACAGAAAATGTGTATGGTAGGATTTAAAGTTTTTAATTGTAAAATTGTAAATAAACCATACACACATATAGAAAGTGTGTATGGTAGGATTTAAAATTTTTAATTATTTGTAATTGTAAAATTTTTAATTGTAAATGCTATCTGAAAAACCTTAAATTAAAAAAATTATGTTCATGAGGTAATGAAAGGAACTTAGTAAAATAATTTTAAAGTATATTCTTTTATTAATATCTGACATCTAATGATGTACTTGAACTTTTTGAAAGGAGCAAACATTATGATACAGATAATTCATATGGTACAATACTCCCTCATTTAATTCCTGCTGGAACAGTGACAAGAAGAGCTGTTGAACCAACGTGGCTTACAGCTAGTAATGCTTATGTAAGTATCATACTGTTATATTGTTAAGGAATAATTATTAATATTGTATTGTAATCTTTTCTGTTAAATATAATTAACTTTTCTATAGCATTGTAATGGAAGTTATTTTTGTGTGCTAAATAGGAGTCTGAATGCAAAAATACTTGTAGACTAATTAATTCAATATTTAAAATGGCTTCATATTTTTAAATATTTCATTTGATGTTTGATATTATTTGATGAACTAAATTTATTTCAATATGAAAGGAAATATAATTTTCAAAGACTGAAAATTTGCATTCAATTTATTAGGGGGATCGTGTTGGAAGTGAGTTAAAATCAATGATTCAAGCCCCACCTGGATACCATTTTGTTGGAGCTGATGTTGATTCTCAAGAACTGTGGCTTGCAGCAATATTCGGGGATTCAATGTTTGCAAAAATTCATGGTATTTATTTTTCATTAGTTTGATATCATTTTATTTTCTGTTCACTGTTTCATTTCATATTATAGTTTAAGCATCTGCATTTCTTTGATGTATGTTATGGCTGTTCTTTCAAATCCATTGATTAACTGTTAGTGATGTATATACATCTAGTAGCATACTAAGGAACATATAGTTGCAGCCATTGGGAACTCCAGACTGTGTGTGAATCATCTGGAATATTAAATCACAGACCAAAATACTTTTTTATGCTTTCATGAATTATCAATACTAATAATTAAATTGATGAAAAATTTTTGAAAGTCATAGTAGAGTTATATTAATTTAAATAAAAAAATGCTTTAAAAAAAGAGAGAAAGAGATAGTGAATGCCTTACAGGTTAGAGCATTTAATATGCATTATATCACACAATATTTGTAGCTAAAAGAAAAAAGTAGTTGAAACTGAGCAAACTGAAATAAGCTGAACTGATTTTTTTCCCTGAATACTGATATTTTTTCCTATAAATTAAAACCTGATCAATTTATATCAAATAATTAATTTTTATTTCTTTTTAAATGTCCGAATTCCAAACCTAGTTATCAGTTCTGTTGCTGAAATCTCATGTTTGCCAATGCACAGCTAAAAGATATTTTTCCTATTTGCTTCTGGGCCCACCAGCAGTCGAGCAGTAAAGTTGCTGAACACTGGTAGTTCAGTCAAGAGTTTGAATCCCTGTGAACAGGTTGGCTGTATGGATGTTTCCATGATTTTCTCCATATGTAATGGGTATACGAGGCAGTTTCCCTTAAAAAGTCCAAGAAAGCATCCCTCCCCTTAGGTACATAGCCCTTATTTTCTTTGACATAATTAAACAAACCAACCCTATTTGCTTCTAGTTTCAGATTATTTAATAGAATAGGAACTCTTCTTACCTGAGGAATGCTTGCATTTTATTTTTACCAATTTACTTAGGGTCTAAAAGTTAAAATGCTGAAAAGGGAACTTGAATGGGCTTACAGATTTGATGTGTCTGAAGTTAGAACTTGTTAAGGAAAGGAAAAATTTTTCCTATCTAGTAAAGATCTGGGTAATTGTAGGAATTAAATAGCGTAAATTTAATATTAAGCTACAATAATATGCAGGGTGTCCCATAAATATTGGCAGACCATAAAAAATCATATAAAATCAACAAACTGGTATGTCAAAATCCTGTTGGAATATAAATACTTATCTCAGAGATGGTCCTTTCTCTCCATAAATTACACATTTTAGTTCAAATTTTTGCCATTTTTTGATGCTATACCATTAATATCATGAAAATGTTCAAATTTAAATCTTTTTAAAGAAGACTTAGTTCATGAGGGATATGATCAGAAGTTGTGCACCTGAGTTACATTAATGTTAGTATTTTAATGGCCTCACAAATGAAAATGAATAAATACTGTATAACCTTAATTTTTCTCATGTTGTTCTTATAGTATGATACTACATTGCGGTGTTTGGGGAAAATTCAAATGAAAATGCACTTTGGGTGAAAAAGTATAATGCATTTTTTGTTTCAAACTACACCCCGACACACTATTTCTTTTATTTTATATAATATTTTTGTATATATTATATTTAGAATTCAAATTTATGGAACACCCTATTGTATCTTATATGTATATAAAAATAATGACTTATATGTTGTGTGAATGTGTGTATTCTCTAAAAGTTTTACCACATGATCCAAAAGTAACAGAAAGTTCAAATTTCTATAATTTGAAAATGGCATTTCTGTAACGATCTCTTCTTGTCCATAGCCAGATAAATAATCTCAAGAGAATACCTGGTTCTCTAAAAGGTAAAGGTTGTACTCATTAAAAGCATATTTATTTTGAAAAATTATGATTTACTTCTGAAGTCACACTATTTATTAGTAGTTAATTTGCAAATTATTTTAATTTAAATTTTATTTTACCATTATATTTATTGTATGATTAAGGAGGTGGGAAAATTAAAGCTGCAGTGAATCAGAAGTTCTGATGATTAATTGAATGCAAAAACCTATTTAACAAAATTTATCATATAATTCCATTCTGTTTCATAGGATGTACTGCTTTTGGCTGGATGACTTTGCAAGGAAAAAAGTCTGCTGGTACTGACATGCATAGCAGAACAGCTGCCTCTGTTGGCATTGCTAGGGATCAAGCTAAAGTAATTTAGTGTCATATATTTATTTTTCTGTTTATTTTTTATATAAAATTATCTAACTTTCTAATTAGAAAATATCTTCAAAAACTGAATCATGTTTACTGACTGAACTGAAAAAAGTACACCAAGATAAATTTTTAAAGGGCCATGAAATAAAAAATTTAATTACATCGAACATCTTTTTTTTTAAAAGTCCTTAATTTTGGCCAAAATGAATAAACGGTCCTTAATTTTGCTCATTTGACATTTCTTATTCATTTCTAATGATTGCCATTCTAAGTGTGAATTACGATTTCTCATGAATATGGAATTAAAATTACACAGCTCTTAACTAATCTGTTGGCGGATTTGCATTGCAAACGATTAAAAAAAACAATTAGCTACCCGAACGAAAGTATCGGTGTCTGATTGGCTATTCACGCAATCTTTCGAAACAGGTGTTATCCATAAATTTAGGCAGACTGTGACGAAAGCGTGAAGCTGGAAGTTCTTTAAGAGGCGAAAGTGATGATGAAGGTGCTCGAGAAAAAAAAAAGGGGGGCGAGATTCTGAAAATATTTGCCAAAACTAGAGCAATTCCAACCTGGAAGGCCACAACCCTTCCGACGCCAATAGGAACGAGATGCCTGGAAAGTGCATTTTCAATAAACTGTGGCTTCATCAAGCTGACTACAAAGACTGGATATTGATGGATGGCAATCCTTAAATGTGGTCTTTGTCTGAAACAAATTGAAATTTCTAGAATGGGAGAGTCAGCAGCACTGAAAATTCACATTGAAAATTAAGTTTCGTTTTATCATTTCAATTTGTTTTTACACGGTTTTGCTTAGCTTAATTTCTGTGTTTGTTTCAATTAAGCCATAAATTAATTTTTTATCACCTTCTACGGAGTTTATTCTCTTTTGCACATACTATATGTATGGGATATCGGGATTATGAGTTTATTTCTGCAGAGGGTCTGTTATCGATTTCGCGGGAAATCTGTTGGCTCCATTTCGATTTTAGGTCGCCAAGGGCAAAATCGGTAACGCTAGCTGAGAAAAAGTGAAGTTCGGAAATACGTTTTGAAGCTTCAATAGACAATTAAGTATTTGGTTTAAACCTATGTTTTTGATAGTAATGCATAATTTTTGCTAATGGCGATACAATTATTAGTTGAAAAAACTAACTAATTAAAAATTTTTTAAATATTTTTAAAGCTGAAAACAACTAATTGAAACTAATTTTCCTGAATTAACTAGACGCAAAATTAACTTTCATGAATTACTAAAGTTATTGGGTAGAAGTTTAACTGAAAATATACATTCCGTATTATATATATATATATATATATATATATTTATACAGTGTACAAAGTCCGAGGTCTGGACTCGTCGGGACTTCGGCGATCCTAGATTTGAGATTTTTCCGGATATTAGATCATTTTAAATCTACTAAGATGGCACGTAGAAATTATAAAATTGAAAATATGAAATCGTGATTTATGAAATAATGAAGCATTTATGATTTAAAGGGTATCAAAATTTACCAAAGAAAAGAGCTTAATATTTATATGTTTACTTTAATTAAACATTTCTTTCAATGTGAGTTGTTTGATTTGTTTTCTCTGCTAATACTTTAGACTAATACTATAGACATATAATTTCTTGTTCAGTTATTAAGTTCCATTGTTCAAGTCCTGTAATTGCTGTGTCGAGAATTCCGAATAACTTGTCAATCAAAATTTTTTCTCGTTCAGTAACCTCTCTGTTACTTTCTTCACTATCGGTAGCTGTATTTTCTGGATTTAGAACCATACTACAGATTCCGCCCTCCGTTAATTGATTGATGATTGGGCATTGTCATTGCAATGAAAAACTTCTGTTTAACTTCGCTAAATTCTGCCGCCTGGTGCGGCCATGCGAGCTCTGGAGCTGGTTCTGGCTTTATGTGAATAACAAATCAGTTATTCTTAATTCAAATAGCACTAAATATAATCGTTTGTCCTATGAGTATCATTAACAAAATCTATTTTTAGCATAAGGAAAGAAATTTCTGCTAAATCTCCCCTTGTCAACATTTAGCGCATTAAA